TTGGGAAAAAATGGCCGCTCCCAGACTCAGTGATCGCGATGAAAATGATTGTTTTTAATATTTTAAGTGATTAATGCTAAATTAATTAAATCACTGCAACATCTTGGTGTTAGTTATAAATAATGATCCATTGATTTTTCCTTGCTGATCAGACTTTTCCTTTAAAATATAATGAATTTATACCTGAACACTCTGCTAACAAGATGAAATGTGAGACAAAGCTCAGCATTTGTGTTAAAGCCTTTCGATTTTACTGAGAAAGAAATGTTCCAACCTCCGTCTTTTTTAACTTGTGAATAAAGTAAATAGGCTAAAAGTGATTTGCAAAAAGCTGGGTAAAAACTAACTTTTGAAGTCTTGGAGCTGTCTGATGGGAACAGTTCTCCCCCTCAGCTGCATGAAGCTGCTCTCATCGTGGCGTTTTGGATTCCCTCCATTGTTGTGCGGGTCATGCTTTCTTTCAATCAGCTGCAGCTTCTGCTTAAAGTTTGCTACTTATCTCTGATTAACTAAACACTCCCAATAAAACAGCTGCATGGTTATCCTCCAGAGGAAGTTGTTCTATCATTGTGCTCAGGGCTTGTTTATATCTCCGGGACCTGATCCCACCCAGTACCACTTTAAAAGAGCTTTACTGCTGCAGCTCTCTGGATGATGAAGGCCTTACATCCAAACAAGTGTTTTATTACCCCAGCCTACGAAGGCTAGCTGTTACATCCTACTTTTCAATGCATCTTTTTTATGAATAGAACTGTACGTTTGTGCATATAATTATGTTTGGGAGAATTTAGTTACATCCTTTAATGTCTCATGTTATTTTAAAGCTATAATGAAAAATAAAAAGAGAGATAATATTTCTCTTATCTTAGCTTCCTCTCAGTGGCTTCCTGTTAAATGAAAAATATCATTTAAACTATTAATTTTAATGGAATAAAACCCAAAATAACCAAGCTCCATCTGATATCAGAGATCTGATTGTTCCTGATGTTCCTAACAGAGCACTTCGCTCTCAATCTGCAGGTTTACTAGTGGTTCCTTTTTTTAGATGAATGAATGAATGACAAAGAGAGAAAATTACTTGGTAAACAATGACCCCCTTATTTTACTCATAAAACATGCAAAATAAATATTGCTCCTAATTTTTGACTGCTTAACTTTACAAACGGCTGCAATCAACAACAATTATTGAAGATTTCCAGAGGACTTCACCATTGAAAT